AAGAACAAAACAAAAACAGCTACTAGGGAGGCAAATAGTAAGAAAGTATTTGGTTGTACTTGATGGATTCAACTTATCTGACCCAAATGAACTACATTTGCCGATTCTGAAAATTGGTGGAAACAATATCTGAGTCATTGGTGTTATTGTAAAGATCATGGAGAACAGTAGAGGTGCTATAGAACTGGAGAAAGGTACTAATGTCCTGATTTAAAAAAGAAATAAAGAAGAGAATGGAACCTGCCTCCCATAGTCCAGTGAACTTGTCTTTATTTGCTGGCAGAATTTTAGTACAGAGTTTTAAAACCTTGTGATGATTTAAAGATGTGATGATTGTGGAACAAGGCAGATATTCAGGTTGTACCAGACTAATCCATGTCTTTCCCTGACAGATTTACTAAACTAGCCCAAGAGGATGCTGTAGATACAGTTTAGTGGAGCATTTAGTAAAGTATTTCATGCTATTCTTATGGAGAGGATAAGGAAATGTGGGCTATAAGATAGTTAAATTAGATAATTTGGAACTGGTTTTATGACTAGTCTCAGAGTAGTTTTGAAATGGTTCTTTTGAATCTTGGTCCAGAAGTCCCCACTGGAGTACCTCAGGGATCTGTGCTTGGCTCTGTGATATTTAATATTTATCAGTGATTTGGATAAAGGCATAGGAAACATCCTCATAAAATTTGCAAGTGACGCAAAGCTAGCAAGCATATAACATGTTGATCCTGTGAGAGTCACTTTTCATAAAGATCTTGATAAAGTAGGCCATTGAGCTGAATGTAATAGGATGACATTTGTTAAAGGAAAATATGAAGTCTTACATTTGGTTTCGAGAAATCAGCTTCACAAGTACAGCACAGGGAAGACATGATTGAATTTCTGTTTGTCTGGTAGAGATCTGGGGGTTTTGTGGAGTGTCAATTCATTAGCAATCAGCAATGTGATAAATCCAAAAAATGCAATGCAGTCTGGAGCTACATTAAGAGAAGAATCAATTCCAGGAATAAAGAAGTGATTATCCTCCTATACTCTGCCATGGTCAGACCACATCTGAAGGATTGTGTTCAGTTCTGGTGAGTCCCCAGAGGAGGGAGGGCAACCAAAATGGTGCTGGGCCTTATGCCATAACGAAAGAAAAATGAATGAAGCAACCAAAATTTAGTCTGGAAAATAGAATACTGGGGTGGGTGATGAGAAGGGAGCTTAAGATTATAGTCTTCAAGTGTTTGATAGGCTGTTGTGTGGAAATGGGATTAGACTTGTTCTGCCCCAAGAGGAATGAACCAGGAGCATTTGGTAGAATTATCTAAAAGGGACACTTGGGCTTGATATAAGAAAAAACTGCTCGACAATAAGAGCTATCTAAAAGTGGAGTGGTCTTCCTCTGGGAGGTCGTTGGTTCCCCCTCATGGGAAATCTCCAGCCAAAGGTTGTATGAACGCTTGGATGATATACTGGCAAGTCTCTGTATACTAGACTAGAGTCATCTTTTAACTCTGAAATGTTGCGATTCTGTGATCTCTCTTGTACTTGAACTGCCCCAGTGGTAGAGAGCTCTCAAACTTATGATTCATTCATTCAGCAAATATTTAGTTAAGTTCCAGCACTCTGCTAGCTAACCTATTCCAATTTTGGAAATCTTTAGTGGTTAGAAAGTGCTTCCTATGACTGCCTAGATGCCATGCTTCTGAAGCTGCAATTACTAGTTATGCTATCTCCTGTTCTTACAGACCCTTCAATCTATTTCAGGTCTAAGTGATTTGTAATTGTTTTGTAACAGCATTATGATAATAACTGAATAATTGGACATTGCTTTAATCGATCATTGAATTCCCTTAACCAAAATAAGTAAATGTATAGAAGTTATTCTGTCTTTAAAAAGATTCTTATATGAAAACAAATTAATGTTTTATAGACCTGCAGGGAAAAGAATTTTCAGCACAGTATAAAAATTGAAAGCATTCCTTTCTTTAATTTTGTAATTCTTTACTGTGGAAAAGCTCAGAATATCACCACTGTTTTAGATAACAGAATTGATAGCTGAGCAAGGAAACGTAATTTGGATTATAAAAATTCCTTAAACAGTGGGAAAAAAAAGAAGGTTCTGTAAATTTAATAAATCATTTGTTTCATCTGGAATGCTCTTAAGTAACATTTTTTTTTTAGCCCTTAACTAGAATTTAATAGGATTTTCAAGAATTAGCAGTCTCTCCCATCCTCAAAAAAAATCCCTTACTTGATCCATCCATCTTTGCTAGCTATAATCCCATATACCTCCTCCCTTTTGTGACTAAATTCCTTGAGAAGACTATCTCTAATTGGTGCCTCCACTTTGTTTCTTCTCATTCTCTTCTTAATACTCCAGTCTAGCTTCTGACCCTGTCAATTGCTCTCTTCAAACTTATTGATGGCCTTTTATTTGCCACATCTAATGTCCTCTCAATCCTCATCCTTCTTGACTTCTATTAAGATAGCCTTTGACATTGTTAGTAGTTTTCTTTTTCCCTCATACACTCTTCTATCTATGTTTTTGTGACACTACCCTATCCTGGTTCTCTTCCTACCTGTATAATCTGAGTCTTCTCAGTCTCCTTTGCTAGATCTTCATCTAGGTCACCCCTGCTAATCATGAGTATTTCCAACACTGTCCTGGGCTCTCTCCTTTTCTCGCTTTATACTGTTTTGCTTGATGATCCCATTAGTTTTCATGGATTAAAATTATTATCTCTTATGCTAATGATTTGCAGATCTACTTACATAGCTCAAATTTCTCTTGCATCTTCAACTACCTGTTGGACATGTCAAACTGGATGTCCTGCAAACTCAACATGTCCTAGATTGCAACCTTAACTTTTGCTCCAAGATCTCCTTTCTTCCTGATTTTCCTATTGCTGTGGGGGGCACCATCCTCCCAGTAACCTAGGCTCATAAACCAAGTTTCATGCTGAACTCCTCACTCTGACCCCCAATCAGTTTCCTAGTTCTTTCAGTTCTGCCTTTGCAACATATACACCCCTTTTTGTCTGACTGCAACCACCCTGGTCCAGGCCTTCATCACTTCATGTCAGACTTAGCAATAGCCTGCTAGTTGATTTATCTCCCTGTGTCAAGCTTCTCCCCATTCGAGACTATCTTCCACTGTCACATTGATTTTCTGAAAGCATACATCTGACCATGTCATTCCTCTATTCAGTAAACTCCAATGGTTTTCTGTCACCTCCAGGATCAAATACAAAATCTTCTGTTTGCGTTCATAGCTCTTCATAACCTGACTCCTTCTCCCTCTCCAGTCTTCTTGTACCTTGGTGGCTGTCTGTGTACTATGTGATCTTTAAAATACATTGGGAGGAGAGAAGATGCCACTGTACAGAGTGTACTGGCCTTGTTGCTGTTCCTTCAGCAAGATACTCCATCTTCTTACTTTGCATTTTTGCAGACTATCCCCCATACCCAAAAGTCTCTCCCTCTTCATCTCTGTCTCCTGGCTTCCTTCAAGTCCCAGGCAAAATCCCATCTTCTACAAGAAGCCTTTCCCAGTCACTCTTAATATTACTGCCTTCCCTCTGTTTATTATCTGTATATATGTTTGTCCTATATATTTGTGCGTGTGTGTGTGTGTGTATTTGTCCTGTGTATATCTTGTTTCTGCATTGTTCTTTGCAGATTGTCTCCACTCTTTTAGATTATAATATCCACAAGGGGAGGGATTGTTTTTTGCCTTTCTTTGTATCCCGAGCCCTTAGCAGAGTACCTGGCACATAATAGGCACTTAATAAATGCTTGATGACTGCCTGAAGTAAACAGCAAGAGAGCCATATAGGAATCATAAAGCAATCCATTGTTTTATATTATAATAAATAAGCTTTTTTTGCTGTAAAAGGTAACAAGGATCAAAAGGAAAGAAATAGAAAGGGAAAAAAGATATATTGAACATTTGTGGACCACTTACTGTGTAAAGTGTGTGAAAAACATAGGAGATAAAAACTTACTATCCATAACATATAAAGAATTGGCACAAATATATAAGTATCAAATTTTACTCAAGTTCTCTGGGGAAAAATACAGACAATACATTTTCAAATATATATGTATATATAATCTCTAGTAATTAAAGAAATATAAAACAAAATAGCTTTAAGGTACCACTGTAGGGACATTCAGCTAGCAAAAAATAAATAAATAATTGTGAAACCTAGCATTGGAAAGGATACAGGGAAATAGATATACAAACAAATTGCTGGTGGCACTATGGTTTGGTTTTTCTTTAGGAAAACAATCTGATGATGCTGTTAATAAAGGCTATAAAATAATTCACATCCTTTGACCTGGTCATTGTATTTTGGGAGAATATGCTTCAAGGATATAATTCAAAAAGAAAGGACCATTCAAATATTTTTATTCCAACTAATTAGAATTGCAAAAGACTGCAAACAACCCAAAGGCCCCAGAGTGGCAGCTAGCAAATAAGCAAACTATAGCATATCAACATGATGGAATATTGTGTTGCTTTGGAAAATAACAAGTATGTGAAACTAAGTCATCACTGCATAAAAAGATGTATATGAAATAAATGAAAAAGGAACACAAAATAATTTGTACACAGTGATCACAACTTTGTAAAAAGTAGTATATTAAAGATCAACAGAAACATTAGAGTGGTGTCACTTGATACTCAAAATTATATACGTGAAAGAGAGAAAAAAAGTCATGTCAATGACCAGTATCACAGATTAGTTTTTTACTAAGATTTTGCCTATTGTTAAGATTTAGCAATGAAGTTTTAAAACTTAGACCATTTCAAAGATCAGTTGGCTTCACAGTAACTTCAAAATGTTTCAAGTTTTGTTTCTGGTTCAAGGAAAAGAAAACATTTGAAATAGTTTCTGGTTGAGATTTGATTCCTTGGCTACAATGAAGCTTACACATAAAATGTATTTTAATAAAATATGATGTAGTCTAAAATATATCTCTTGCTTTTCCCTTCCTACATTTTAACACAGAATTCTGATATCCAAAGAAATGAGAAAAACATTGAGAAATAGTCATGGAAACATGAAGATATCAAAGATTGCTTATCCATTGGGACTATTTGTATGTCTGTTCATATATGTTGCATATGTAAAATGGCGATGGGCCTTTGCTACCCAAAGAATCTTCAGCATAACAGAGACTGCTGTGGGGACAAGAAAAAATCAACAGTCCCTTGAGAAATTGGTGGTAGCTAATCGTGCCGTGTTCTATGGAATTATGTTTGATGCTGGAAGCACTGGAACCCGAATACACATCTTTCAGTTCACCCAGACTGCGAAAGGTATGACCAAGATGATGAAAACACAGGCCTTCTTTTCTTTTCTGTGTATTTGATTTTTGTGTTTTTCATTATTTGTATCGCCATCCTCTATTGGCTAATAACATGTTTGTTTCATGTGGAGCTATGATTTCTTCCATCGAGGGAACTCCTAGTGAGGAAACCCTCTCTACTTATACATATCAGCAATCTTCTGCAGCTTCTGGTCTTAGTGAGATATGCCTCAGGCACTGGAGATTAAGTGATTTACCCACAGCCTTTTGTGGGACAGAGGAGTAGGACTCTACCTGGATCTCACTGGCTTGGAGGCTGGCCCTCTCTCCCTTCCGCTGTGGTCCCTCTCTGTGGGCATATTGTTGGAGTGACAGATTTCCCAAAATAGACTATGAGGACCCTCCTGGCTTACAGTTAGTTTCTATTTCCCAGAGCGTAACGCTACACCGGAAGACAGGTTGAGGATCCTTTTGGGATCAGAGAGAAGTGAAGAAAATCATTTAACATTTCTGGGTTTATATGCTAACTTATAAAATGAGGCAGTCAGTTCAGATGGTCTCTGAACTCCCAGGCTACAAATTATTGTTTGGTGTTGTGTAACATTTTTATGAAACATAGAAGAATTAGATGGAGATTTGGGGATAGTTTTCATTTTGTTTTTTCCTAGAGGATACTCCTACTCTTGGCTTTCCCAGAGCTCCTTTTGAGAAGAGTGGGAGCACCACATGTTTGTTGTGTTATGTGTTAGTGGTTTCATTTTATCTCAAACCACTTGTATAACTCTTTTATTAAATTCTTCTGGTGGGATGCTCTAAGCACAATACAGAAGACACTGATTAGTTTGTCGTTAAGTATTTTTGTTAAGGAGCCAGCTGTGTGCTAGACTTTCCATCTACAGTGAGTCATATGACACTGTCTTTTACCTTGGGAATTTATATTCTAGCTGTAGCTTTTTCAGTAAAATGAAGTGAAATCTTTTGTTATTTAGTCAAGAGCTCTTGATTCATGTATAACTTGAAAATTTTGAAGGAAATGGAAAGAAATGGAATAACAAGGAAGATATGATTAGGATAATGAGTTGCAGTATTAATAGTCTTTTAAACATTCTTGTTGAGGCTCATGAAGTATATTTGAATGGATGATTTCATTGTCTCCATTTGCCCAACTGTGTTTTCTTAAATGGAAAAAAATTCTCTATCTTAAGCAAGGTGATGGATTGCAGTTGGCTCATATGTAGCTTGAGTTTGACCTGGACGACCTCTAAAATTCTGTGAATATCTGTTTGAAATTGCATCTGTAGATTTCTTGACTCAAATACTCAAAAGAGTATTGCCACTTTGACAACCAAAAAGTTCCAGAGAGAAAGTAAAGCCAAACTATGAATAAACCTGGGAATCTTAAAATTAAAGCATTTAGTGGTGGGCAAAGCAACCTCACCCCCAGGGTGTTATGCATGATTCTAAACACTGATTCTAAACCCTGTTTCATTGGATCCAAAGCCTTTTTGCCTGCTTAGCTTTGCCTTGAGTCTTAGACTCTGAACTTGGCTACCAGTTATGACACCCACCTGCCACATCTCCTAATTTATGTAGTTCCTGAATTTGTCTGTTGATTATACCAAAACATAGCCAATAGCAGGTCAGGGAAGGCCTGAAAAAGAGAAGAGGCTAGGATGGGGAGGTTGCATAATGAAGAAGATAATGCCAAAAATCAAGTAGACCAGAGATCTTGTTCAGAGATTTCAGCCAAGGCAGAGGGGAAAAATCAGGCACTAAAGGTTCAGGCAGGTGAGATGTCTGTGGTCTTAGGGAAATCACATACAGTAAATGTACAGTACATGGTCAGAAGCTCTCTCCAGAGTTTGGACAGTAAGATGTCAAAGATGATCTAGTGCATTTGCAGCCTGAGTAACAGGGGTAAGTCTTAGTAGCAAGACTAAAGCTTGGTACCGAATCAGTAGCCTTCTAAGGTAGGAGTTCCTTACATGCTTCCTACCCATCCAAGGCCAAAACTGGTTTCAGCATATTAAAAGAGTCCACAAGAGGAGACAGGGAGGCAGATAGTTCCCAATAGGGAGCCAGTTAGTTCCTGATATATTTGTTAATGAAGCAGCTTTTCATTATCAGAATGCCCACTGCTTCTGTTTTGTTATTGTTGTTGTTTTAAGGCAATTGGGGTTAAGTGACTTGCCCAGGGTCACACAGCTAGTAAGTATCTGAGGCCAGATTTGAACTCAGGTCCTCCTGACTCCAGGGCTGGTGTTCTATCCACTGCACCACCTAGCTGCCCCTGCCCACTATTTCTTAACACTGCCACCACTACCTCTTCCAGTCTCAACTGCTGTATTTACTATTTGCCATTCTCATTTATTCCTTTTTTTGTTGTTTTCTGCCTCCTTTTGCTGTAGTTTTCTCTCTTAGTTAATTACATAATTATTAGCATAATATTTAAGTGCCTTTAAAATTTTTTCTTGGCATATGAACTCATTTATAAGTTCATTTCATGTAATATTTATTAAACTTTTCTTGTAATTTGGCATTTTTTGTATAAATCTTTGAACTGGCTTGTGAATTATTAAGGACAGGTTTTTTGTTTGTTTGTTTTAGTTTCAGGTTTAGATAGCAACGGATATAAAATTCATTTGAGTTGGAAGGTGGGAAATTATGTGTAGTAGCTTAGAAGAAGAAGTTTAATCCAGCGATCCCACTATGGGATATATACTACAATGAGGTCAAAGACAGAAACAAAGGTTCATTGTAAAGCTCTATATTAATAGCAGCACTATTTGTGGTAGCAGACAACTGGGAAAAAAGTACTTGTCCATCATTTGGTCAATGACTGAAAGAATTATGAAGTATAGATATAATGTAATATTATTACAAAGAAAAGATGAATGAGAAATTCAGAGAAGCATTGGGAAGACTTACATGAAAGAGTGAAATTAACAAAACCAAAAAATAATACATACAGTGACAACAATGTAAATTAAAAGATAACTAAAAGTAAGCCAAACATTGAATAAATTTTAAAAAATAGTCCCAGAGAACGTTATGTACATTTTCAAACACATTTCCTGTTTCAGGTGTTTTTGCTTAATTGTTTTTATTTGTTACAAAGAGGGGGCTAGTATTTCCTGAACTGATTGATGTAAAATTTAAAAAAGCATCAGTAAAAAAAAATTTAAGCACTCAGATAAGTAGTTACTTACATAAGTGTGTTAAAAAAAAACTTGGTTTCCACATAAAATTATCACATTTGCTATATTTAGAATTAGCTGTAAAAACCAGGATTAGAGGGGAATAAGAAAATTTTAAGGCAAGATTTCGGACATGGGATGGGAGAAGGCAGTCAGATCTTTGAAAAAATACATTTTTCCTCCAGACTTTTTCTGGTTACATCAATCTACCCAAGCATTTGTACTCTAGTTGTGATCTTTTTAATACCTATTTTCAGTCATTTTCATCTGTTCTTCAAGTGGAACATACTCAGGAAATAGAAGCTAACCTTCAAAATAAAAAGGAAATATGAAAGTTAAATATAATGCAACAGAATCCAAAAATGCATCTGTCAAAGAAAGATTATGTTTGGTTACTCCATTCAGTTTTAGATTATCTGTAGCATGGTTCCTCTCCATTAGGTGGATCATCAAATGTAACTTTGTTGAAAGTAAAAGTACTTTGGGGCAAAAATATTCTAAGATCCCAAAGAAGGAATAAATACCACTATATCACATTTCAAATCTATCTGATTGAGTGTGATTGGAAAGGTAAAATGTAAAGACAATGAAACAAATAATATTTTCCCCACATATAAAGTTTTGTAAGTTACAAAACAGTTTGGGGTTGGTTCTTTGTTTTTGTTTTTTTTTTTAACATCTGCTATTAAAAATTGTATCATCATTACTAACAAATACCTTGACAAAATTTCATAGTGGTACCAGTCACAAAAAAAGACCTAATTTAAGTAAACTTCATATAAGTGATTTGTCCTTTTAACTTCTTTTTCTTCCTAGAAACTCCCACTTTGACCCATGAAACATTCAAAGCCCTAAAGCCAGGACTTTCTGCTTATGCTGATGATGTTGATAAGGTAACTTTACTTTCATTAATGTACTGTATCTAAATGAAATTTTTCTTTACACTAATTTTCAAACCAACCCTCTTTCTAGTTATAGAAATGTAGTAACTTCTTTTTCTTGAGGGAGCAGAAGAGAAGAGGGTTTGTACTCTAAGCTAATAATAACTGTTTTAAAGAGTGAGACTCCCTTTTTAGAAATTACAGCCTTGGGCTTTATAAATTAGCAGTATTTTGTAAGTAAATAACCCCCCCCCAACCGAGAGTTTATATTTGAAGGATGAGTACAAAATTACAGAAAGCTACTGCTATATTTTACTTCAGAATTAAAGCCTATTTCTAGCCTACATTGAGATTAATATTCCATTGGGGTTATAATAACTGAAGTAATGGTATTATCAAATTAGGTGGTACAGTGGAAAGAGCACTGGGCCTAGAGTCAGGAAGACTTGGGTTTAAATCCAGTCTCAGATACATACCAGCTGTTTGATTCTGGATAAGTCCTTTACTCTGTTTGCCTCAGTTTCTTCATCTGTAAAATGGGGATAATAATAGCACCTACCTCTCAGGGTTGTTGTAAGGATTAAATGAGATAATAACGATAAAGCACTTAGCATAATGCCTGGCACATAATACATATATATATAAACATTAGCCATTGTTATTTATGTAATTATTATATATTATAATATTATATGTTTTATAATTATATATTATGATGTTTTATGATTATAATTATATATTATGATATTATATAATTATAATAAAATTCACCAGTAGTACCTTTTAAGCTATTTAATAAAAGAATCCAGAGCTGAAAGAGGTCACATTGACCAACTCTCTCATTTTCTGTATGAGGAAACTGAGTCCCCCAAAGATATTAAGTGATTTGCCCAAGGTTACATACATGTAAATTAGTAGCAGAGCTAGAATTAGGACCCCAGTTTCATAACACTCAGTCCAGTGCTATTTCTGTTATATGACAAGGTCTTTGTTAAGTCATCTCAAACCATAAAATAATGGATTGCTCCTGGGGTACTTGCATTGTAGGCCCAAATGTAGTAGCATGGCTTTGTTTAGAGTTGCAAACATAGACTTAGACCTGGCAGGGAGTTAAAGATCATCTTGTCCACCACCTCACCTCTCACTTTACAGCTGAAAAGCAGATCCAGAACTACTGGATTACTGGCCAGGGTGACTCAGGCATGGGCCATAAATAAGATGATTTCACTAGTACATATAACAATTAACTGTCTAAGTTGTATAGCTTTATTAATATTGCTGGTTGGTTGATAGAGAATAGAATTCAATTCAATTTTGTTGGGAAACAGTTTAGGGAAATGGTGATAGTGTGTGACTAACAGAGCTATATGGTGGGTAGGCACTGGTAAAACATTGAAAAGACGAATGTCCCATGGATTTATCAATCAGTAATGATATTCATGTGATGGTGCTCAGTCACATTCTACTACCATTTTCCTTTAACCTTTCCCAGTGTAAGTAAGTTGAATTCTATTCTATCATTCAGCAAACATTTATTAAGCTCCTACTATATGCTGAGCAATGTACTAGGCATTGAAGATATAAAAGCAAAATAATTCCTGCCCTCAGGGAGCTTACATTCCAATGGTGGGGTTAATATACATTTATATAGGTTTATACAAACCTATACAAGTAAATATTGTGGGAGTCAGCACTGGCAACTGGAGGGACCAGGAAAGGCTTTATACAGAAAGTGGCATTTGAGCTGAGTCTTAAAGAAAACTACACTTTTCTAGCTTGAAAATGTCAATATCATATTTTGCTTTTAAAATCTCAGAGCACTCAGGGAATACAAGAACTACTGGATGTTGCTAAAGAAGAAATTCCTTTTGATCTGTGGAAGGTCACACCTTTGGTTCTTAAGGCAACAGCTGGTTTGCGTCTGTTACCAGGTGAAAAGGCTCAAAAGTTGCTACAGAAGGTAATGATGTCCAGTTTCCCATTTGAGATATAATAGAATTTTTGTTGGTAACTAGGCGTTTTTAAATTAAATGTTTTATTAGAAACTTAATATTGAACATCACTACAACCAAATTAACTTGCTTGATAACTTTTTTACACTTTAATTTCAGTTCATAAATTAAAGAACTTTTTTCTCATCATTACCACCCCCTCTGAATCCACATCAAAATTCTTTGTCCATTAGCATTCACTTTTCTTCTTACATGGTTGTGGTTCATGTGTATTCAATTCTTCTGGTTTTGCTTTTTTTCACTTTGTATAATAATACAATATGGAATACCATAAGGCCAGAGTTCTTTGTATTCCTCTTACTTGTCAGTATTAATGGCATTATAACATTCCATAATACTAATGTACCACAATTTATTTAAGTATTCTCCAATTTTTGGATTCCCAATTTCTTTCAATTACATAGAACCATAGACTTAGAAATTATAATGCTACTGTGAAAATCTTTGAACAAATCAGAAGAAAAAAGACAGTAATAACTTGTACGACTATAGTTAAAAGAAACTTTGTAACTGAACAAGTGATAGAGGTAATCATAAAAGACTAAACAGACAATTTTGATTACTTAAATTAAAAAGCTTTTGCACAAATAATGCAGATAGGATTAAAAGAAATTATTGGAAGGGAGGATGTTAGAGAATATTTGCATCATATACCACTGTTTGATCTAAAAAAAAATAGCAAATTGACAAAAATATCCATTCTTCCATAGATAAATGATCAAAGGATATGAACAGTTTTCAAAAGGAGAAATGCAGTGTCTGAAAACATACTCCAAATGATTCATATTAAATGCAAATGAAAGAAAGTCTGAGGCTTCACCTTATACTCTGAAAATTGACCAAGATGGCCAGAGACAGAAACAATGTTGGAGGGATTGTGGAAAGAGAGGCAATACTGATTGATACTCTGTTATGGAAACTGTGCATTGGTTCAACTGTTTTAGGAAAGAATTACAAATTGGCAAGAAAAGTTGTTAAATTGTTCACATCTCTTGATCCATTAATCTGCCACTGGGTGTATACTCCAAGGAGGTCAAAAGCAAAAATTTCAGTCAGTGAACAACAAGCATTTATTAAATGCCTTCTATGTGTCAAGCACAGTGTTAAGTACTGGGAATAGAAAGACAAAAATGAAAGTAATCCTTGCTTTCAAGGCATATACGTTGTATAAAGAAAGTAATTGCAGAGGATGAATCGTGAAGGGGAGAAAAAGTAAGTGTCCACCAGTTGGGGAATGGCTGAAAAAAAAACATGGTATATGAATGTTTAGATCATTTTTGTTGAGGGTTCAGGGGGCAGCTAGGTGGTGCAGTGGATAGAGCACTGGCCCTGGATTCAGGAGGACCTGAGTTCAAATCCAGCCTCAGACACATAACACTTACTAGCAGTGTGACCCTGGGCAAGTCATTTAATCCCATTGCCTAGCCAAAAAAAAAGGAGCGTTCGGTGCTGTCTGTGAGTAGGGAGGAAGAGAGGGGTAGTATATGGTATATCTAGAAATTACTGTGATATAAATACAAGAGGCATCAAGAAAACTTTTTTAATTTGAAAAAAGCCTTCAGACAGATAGCTTGAGGAACTGGGAGGGAAGGGGAAAAGAAGGAAATAGTGGGGAAAATGACACTTCTTAAGGAGTAATAGAAACACTAAATCAAATGGTTTGCTGATTGTTTTCAATGATAAACTAGCTGCTCTCAGATACTTATTTAGTCAGCCTTGTTTTCAGGTAAGAGTATATACATAGCTTCTTTAAAATAGATCTGATTTTTAAGTGCTTCCACATAGATTTTATATCACTCCTCATAATCTCTTTCAAGACTTAATAGTCTCAGTTCTTAAACTAACTTACATCTTTTATGTTTCAGTTTAAGCAAGGTCACCATGAATATGGGATGAACAGTTTTTGTCATCATAATGTAGCAATACGATGTCTTCATTAATCAGTTAAGGAGCCATTCAGCCATTCAAGCTAAATAATCCTCCGCATTCCTTGTACTATTTATCTGTTTGCTCAATGATAGATTTCAATTCTCACTTTTAATGGGTGCTCCCTTGTTCCCATCTGCAAAAAAGTAATGTAACTTAAATCTTAAAAATCTTACACTGATCCAGGAAACACAACAAGATAGCACTGGATTTAGCCTAGTAGAATTAGGTGATTATAGTGAGGCATGTGTGCCCTCTAATAGGTTTCCTAAATAGTTATCTACCTGATAGTTATTTGTTGATCATCTAGCTATGTAAGGATATTACTGCTATATATGAGTTTTAGAGTTATTTCAGATACATTTTCCTATATAGCAAATGGTTGGAGTTCAGAAAACATGACTCAGTTTTGGAATACACATTTAGGGAGTTAAAATCCAGTTAAGTGAAATAGTGCTAGCAAAGTATGTGTCAGCATGTGAAACTAACACCAATGCCTTACTAAAAGGTGAATTTTTTTTAAATAACTCAAATTTTACATGAAACACCTGTCCTCCAACAATTAACCAAACCTGTGGTAAATTTCCCACTATATTCAAGCAAACAAAAAAAAAGTTTACTTTGTCTCTCCTTCTGAAATTCCACTTCCTTTGGCTTTGTTTGCTTTATATGTGTAATATACACAATATGCAGATATACATACATGTGTGTATATATGTATACATACATGTGTGTATATATGTATACACACAGAGATTGAGAGAAAGTCCTTCTGTTTCTCTCATTTTTATGTCTTATCTCACCTGGTTCTTCCACATATCTGATCTGCTCCTTCTCAGTCTTCTTTGCTGGAACTTCACCCAGATCACACCCACTCAAGTTGAGTGTTGCCCAAGGCTCCATCTTGTACTCTCTATGCTAATTCACATGATGATCTCATCAGCTCATATAGTTTCAATTATCTCTATGCTGATGATTCTCAAATCACCTATAATCTCTTTACTGACCTCCAGTTTCGCTTCTCCCACTGTCTATTGGATGTCTCAACGGATGTTCCAGAAACATCTTAAACTCAAATGTCCAAAATTAATTCATTCCCCTTTTCCTAGCTTTCCTGTTAATATGAAGAATACCACCATCCTCCCAGTCACCCAGGCTCAAAACCTAACTCTTTCTAACCACCCCCCAGCCCGTATTTAGTCTGTTGCCAAGTTTTGTTAAGTCTACCTTCATAACATGTCTCATAGTTTCTCTTTTTTCCTCCTTTGACACTGTTACCCCTAGTCCAGGCCCTCCTCACCTCATAACTGTAGCCTTCTGATTGATCTTCCTGCCTCATCTCTCCACATTCTCAGTTGTCAAATCGATCTTCCTGAAGTGTAGATATGACCATGTCACACATGCACCCCCCATTCAGCAAACTCCAGTGCTTCTACTACCCCAAGATCAAAGGTAAAGTTCTTTGACATTCAAAGCCCTCCATAACTTGGCCCCTTCCTGCCTTCTCAATCTTCTTATATTTTGTTCACTTCCCTCCCCCCACATACTATTCAATCCAATGACGTTGGACTCCTTTTTGTTCTGTATACAAAACACTGACCCTCCCAACTCTGCATTTTCACGTACTGTCCCTTATGCCTGGAATTTTTCCTTTCCTCTTCTCTGCCTCCTCACTGTCCTGACTTCTTTCAAATCCTAGCTGAAATCTGACCTTCCACAAGAAGTCTTTCCCAATTCCCCCAAATGCTGGTACCTTCCTGTGTTGATCATCCCCAGTTTATCCTCTATATATCTTGTTTGTACATAGTTGTTTACCTGTTGTCTTTCCAGTTACACTGGGAGCTCCATGAAAGCAGGGGATGTTTTGTTTTAGTTTGTCTTTCTTTGTGCCTGGCACACAGTAAGTGCTTACTTAATAAATGCTTATTGACTAAGTGACTTTCTACATGTCCTTGTATCTACATTTTTATGTTGTTTTATAATGCCATAATATTCCATAACGTGTCCATTTCTCCAATGTTACACATATAGATTATTTCTAATTTTTTGCTGTTATAAATGAACCAGGTATAAGTATTTTTGTATAGTATGTCGATTCTTCCTTTTCATAATATTTTAGGCTAATGTCCTTACAATGGAATTCCTGGGTCAAAGGGTATGATCAGTTTTTTAATACCTTTTATAGATACTGTTATTAAGCCAGTCTTGAAAACAAGTCCCCATGACACAGGGACCTTGCTTTCAAGGCAGACTTTATAACTATTATCAATTGCTTTGGAATGCTCAGCAGAACATTCCTACCACTCCTAACCCACCACTAAGAAGCTGCAGTTGAGAGGCCCTGCCCTCAGTCACACAAGGAATTCCTGTTAAATTTTCATGATCCATGGTGTTAGAGATCTAGAACTAGAGGCTTCTCCCCAGGGTTTCCATCTCCTGCAGCTTTAGGAAAAAAGTATGCACAACACTTAGCTCCTCTTGGAGGTATGACTTCTATCTAGAGCTGGCCCAAAGAGAACATGGTCAAATTTTATAATGTTTTTAAAATTTATAACTCTAAAGTGCTAAATAAATATCAGTTGTTATTAATAATGACACTTCCTGCCCTACCCCTCCTGTTCTTTATTTTTTTTTTAATTTTTCAAGTAACAAGTATTTTTAATTAATTGGTCCTTCCCACTACCCCCTAATTGAGCAATTTTTTAAATCCCAAAATACAAATCCCTCGGTACATCTTTTTACAGTGAAACAAATTCCTTTATTAACCATGTCTGAAAATTATGCCTCTGTGCATTTTAAGTTCATCACCTCTGTCAGGAGATGAATGGTGTGCTTCATCATCATTCTTTTAAACTTGTGATTCATCATTGTGCAATCTAAAGTCTTTCTTTATAATGTTATCATTGTATAAATTGTATATCATTGGATAAATAAATCTCCTCTTTCTCATTTCACTTTCCATCTGTTCATAAAAGTCTTTCTAGTTTCCTCTGAAATTATTCCTTTCATAATTTCTTATGGAACAGTAATATTCCAGTGTATTCCTGTACCACAATTTGTTTAGCCATTCTCCAAAAAGAAAACACCCCCCCTTAGTTTTGGATTTTTGGTTACCATGAAAAGAACTGCTATAAATATTTTTGTACACATAGGTCCTTTCCTGTTTTATTTCTTTGTGGGTGTAGGTCTAATAGTGGTAGAAATATGTCAAAATGTATGAAATTTGGCAAACTTCTGAGCATAGTTCCAAATTCCTTTCCAGAGTGACTGAACTTATTCATAGCTTCATCAATAGACTAGTACAGTTTTCTTACAGCCTTTCCAACATTTGTTATTTCTTCTTTTGTTACCTTTGACAGTCTTATGGGTATGATGTAGAACCTCAAAGTTGCTTTAATTCACATTTCTCTAATTACTAGTGACTTTTTCATGTGATTGTTGATAGCTTAGATTTCTTCCTTTGAAAACTGTTTGGTTTTTTTTCACATCTTTTAACTATCTATTGGGGAATGGCTCTTACTCTAATCAGTTTGAATCAGTTCTTTCCATGTCCTAGAAATAAGACCCTCATAAGAGAAACTTGTTGCAAAGATTTTTTGCCCCAATTACTTTTGTCCTTTCTAATTTTTACTAGATTAGATTAACTGGTGCAAAAACTTTAATTTTTTATAATCAAAATTCACCACTTTATCTCATATAATACTCTTATCACTTGTTTAGTCATGAACTGTTCCCCTCTCCATAGATCTGAAAGGTAATTTTTTCCTTGCACTTTTAATTTGTTCATGACTTGACCTTTTATATCTAGGGCATATATCCATTTGGAACTTTTCTTGGTGTGTGATGTGAGGTATTGGTCTAAACTTAATTTCTGCCAGGCTATTTTTCCAGTTTTCTCAGCAGATTTTGTCAAATAGTGAGTCCTTCCCTAAGTAACTGTGGTCTTTGGGTTTGTCAAACACCATGCTACTGTGTTTCTGTTACGTTGTGTGCCTAATCTGTTCTGCTGATCAAACTCTCTTTTCAACCAGTTTTTATGATTACTGCTTTGTGGTATAGTTTGGGATCTGGTACTGATAAACCTTCTAAACCAACCCAACCTTCTAGAGTTCCTCTGAGTAAGGACTAGATTATAGCAAGTTCTCCCAGGATGATTTTGGAATAAACCTTTTACCTGTGGCTCTACAACCCAACTTAGATTCTTGAAATAATAGATTAGGATATCTCACAGCTAACAATTTTGAAACTATAAGAGAGAACTTTTGTCTTATTCTCTGAATTCCACTATATAAAACAAATCCAGAAATCATCATGGTGCTCATCTGTTCTTTTGTTTAATAGAATTGTGACATAAAATAATTATAAACAACGAGATTTATTGTCTTTCTGAAAATTTAGGTAAGAGAGGTTTTCCAGGCATCTCCCTTCCTTGTAGGAGATGACTGTGTTTCCATAATGAACGGAACTGATGAAGGTAAGATCAGAAATGACACCTCAATGTTTACTTGTTTGATGTTTAAAAACTTAATACTAAATGCCTATTATACTTTTTTATTTTGTAAAATGTAAAATGGAGTAAAGAATTTTGTTAAGTAAAAGTTAATATCTCATGTTTCAGTCCTCACAATATTTTTGTATTGCATCAATATCCATAAAGCCCTTTGAATGGCAACACTACTTTTGATGTCACTATCTGTCCTTGAATGGTGATTCTTAAGCTGGATACCTTTTCACTTTTGCATTCTCATATTTGGACTTTCCACGTGGAAAGGAAAATCCACACTGCAGTGTAACGGATGTAGGTTATCTTCCTTTTATTATACTAAATAATAAGAATTCCAACAGAGTAGATAAGTTGCTTCTCACAAGAAATGAACAGTATTAGTTTTCAAATTTTCCTTTCTTCTCTCCGCTCTAAAAAGGATTTTAATTGTTTAAGAAATGGAGGAAGAAAGGGTACATTTCTCTGACTTCCCTCTCTTGAGTAGGAACAAGGATACTGGAGTAGGGAAGGGAAATGTATGGAAAATCAGGAGGAAAAGATCTGACATCCTGTGAAAACTTTCTAAATGTTTGAAAAGATCAATAATAGACATTTATTTTTTTTTATGTTTTCTTCAAGTACATATTACTAGAGGAAGAGAGAATGTCTGAAATGTATGTATTTGCTAACTTTTGAGCATTGGTGTGTGTAATCACTATTATAGCAAAATGTATTTTCCACTTAAATTATAATTTATTACAGTTATGCTTGAGATTACATATATGTGTATGTACTATGTATATATACACACATATATATGTGTGTACAGTGCAATTATATATCATATGTATATGTGTGTGTTTGTTCTTATAAAAAGATAAACACATTTATATCCGTTTACTAATTACCACAAAGAGCTGTAAGTAAACTGGGTGAAATGTCTTTATTAAATTCATGGCTTCCAGACCAAAAAAGGAATTAGGTGGTCCAGTTAGCATAATTCTTAGTACTTAATAAATATTTTTTTCCATTTACTCATCCAGAGTTGTATATTAAGAATGTCTATGTCTTATGAATGACTGTTTTATCCAAACTTAAATATTTGTGAAATTCTTTCTCATAGGAGTTTCAGCATGGATCACAGTGAACTTTTTAACAGGTATGCTTTAATTTAATAGGCCAGTAAAGCTGTGACCTAAAGAGTGGTATTTCAAAGATGCCTCTGGTTCACTTCTAAGTTGGATATTCAACTAGCCTTCTAGAAAGCAAGAACTTGTTTTGGGGGACTTTAGTTTTTTTATTTCTTTTGTAATTTCCCATAGTTCCAATACAACATTTGCATAGGCTATGTTAATGAATAGAATTTAAAAGTCTACATGCCTCAACAAGGTCAAAATTGCCCTGGACTTAAGCATTGTTCATTTTTATTCTACTTCTAACCACTTAACCTGCTTTAATGCTGAAGAGAATTAATGTTTTGACTTTTTAAGCCCATACCATGGCAGAACTATTTACCTGACCTTTTATCTTGTACCATCATCTTCTTCCAGAAGCATCAAGTACCTATGGAGACATTGTTTATCCACCCCACTTTCATATTAGGGATTAAAAAAAATAAAATGCTAGATCTGAGATAATGTGAAACCCTTCCTTTAGGCCATGTTTCTGAGGAGTAGTTCATAAAGCTAATTATGAAGTGCTTTCCCAATATTAAGCGTACTATACATGCTTACTAATTACTTTCTCACCTTACATTTAATTAGTGCTCTGAAAAGCATTTACACATTTACTATCTGCTTGGAAATCTGTGTGGTGTAATGGAAAGAGCATTGGATTGGAGGATAGAAAACTAATCTGCTCAGTGTGGCAAGTCATAACCTCTTGGACGCTGAACAAAATGACCTCTTACGAGTCTCTCCATATCTAAGTAATGACCCTATGGTCTCATTTTATTCTCATTAACAAACATATGAGGTAGACAGGGCAGATGAAGAAGCAGAAAGATTAAAGGCATGATGCAGTAAGGTTTTCCTCTGTTAGAGAAGTAAAAGACAATTTTATTTATATTACTCAAAATATACAAGAAGATATAATTTGATTTTTGACCCAGTACTAAGGCATTTAAACTATATTACCTGAAAGAACCATCTTATAATGTAGAATAATCATGGAGCTTTATCTTGCCAGTGACAAAGAATAGAGCTCCTTTCTAGGATCTAATAATTGTATGGAAGAGAATTTGTTTTAGTAGGTAGATTTTTTTTAAAAAAGGCATGATTCTTCAGGGAGTGAGCCAGTTATTAATCACCTTCCCATTAGGTAGGTCAATCCCAATATCTTTGGTGCTAATTTTTGTAGCTATAATTATTTTAACTAAGGTTATAGATGACCAAGCCACTGTTTCCTTAAAAACATGTAAGATCTTTATATCAAAACTCTTTGCAGCATTTTCGTCTGTCCACTTAAGAGTTTGGGATCTCTTTTGTTTGCATTGTTTTGTGATACAATTTAATAGCTATCATGAGGCAGCACTGTTTTGATCCTATTTTGTGTACTTTAGGCAATTTAAACACTCCAGGAAAGAACAGTGTAGGCATGCTGGATTTAGGAGGTGGATCAACCCAAATCACATTTCTTCCAAAAATTGAGGTAATCTGATCCTACTGTCTGTTTTCTGCAATGAAGCATTGACCCAAGATAAGCTTTATTAGCTTTTCAGCTTTGGTATATATAAGCACTATTGTAGCAAACTGTATTTCCTAGTCTGAGTTGCCTTGTTTGGTACTGGGTTGATGTGGGATTTACCACAGTACCCTGAGAATCAGATTAAAGTCTCCTTCTGCATTCCTTAAAGCCACCATGGAGTTGGACGCTATTGGTGATAATGGATTCAAGAAAACCCCTGGCTAGAATATGTCCAGGAAAAAATGTACACTTAGCAAAGTTATGTGAAGGCATCCATATAGTTCTATTAATATCTGAATACTGAATACTAAAATCTGAATACTGAAGCTAATGGCTTTGTTTTCTGCTCCCTAAGTAGAAACCAGAGATTGTGGTAAGGAAATTTGTTCTTTCACTCCATTTGGCAGGCAGTTTAATGGGATGATAAATAAGATAATAACTTAGTATCTTTAGACCAGAGCTAAAAACACTTTACAGACATTGCCATCTGCCTCTCTGTAATTTTTCTGTGGCATGAAGAAGAGCCAGGTAATGTTGTATTACAAATAGAAAGCTTTAGGCCTTTTCAAAATAAACTTCCTATGAAAATTTCACATGTTTTAAATTAAGACATAAGCTGCTTTTAAAATGCTGTGCCTCTCCTGCTCACTTTAAATCAAAGGAATCATTTGAATTTATCAAAATTATCATTGGGTTCTATGAATTTCTCATTGTCTTGATTAGGTTTCATATTGGGGAGCAGACTGAATTATTATCCTTGAAGGAAAAATTACTGGGTTTTAACCTTAAACATTTTATTTTGATCTTTGCAAAAATGAAGTTCTTTGTGGTTTAATTTGGCAAGATGGTTAATATTAAGTAGTTCTGTAAATGCTTGTGATCCTTCCGATACCCACTTTTGTAGGAGGAGGAAGGTTTCTTCTGGAAGTGAAAGTATTGGTCTATCACAGTAACCCTTCTGTTGCTCTTCAGGTCACCCTCCAGACATCCCCAGCTGGCTACATAACCTCATTCCAGATGTTCAATAGTACCTATAAGCTGTACTCATACAGGTTTGTTATAAGACATGGAGCTGTTGACAGTTTAGTCACAAAGAAATAATGCCCCCTTTGATTCCCAAGCTCTTATTCAGTGAAATAACTGCACTGTTTACAAATTCCAGTATTAAAAAGGATTATAGAGCTCCCTTACCTCTTAACCAAATCAAGTGCATTTTTTAATCTTTTTTCATTGCCATCAAAGAAGATACTAGATCCATTTTTTATTTAATTTATAATAAAACTGAAGCATCTTAGCTGGGTTTTTTTTCCCCCATTAATGTATATCCTTACTGAAAGAAATCTGGACTGTATCTGAGGAAAATGTGGAGAGAAGCTCTAAATTATGCAATAAAATTTCCAGACTTTTTCTTGCTACACATCAGCTTTGATAGATTATTATAATAGAGTTTGAACTCTGTAGAGAAAAGTTTCTAAAACAAGATTAAAAGCAGCCTTTGTAGCTCCTTCCCAAACAGCTTGCTTCTGACCAAGGCCAAGCAGATGCACTGCAAAATGATTGTGTATATTCCCGGAGGTACAGGCCCTTCTTTCACCAAGGATTTTATTTTCAACAGCTACTTGGGACTTGGTTTGATGTCAGCAAGGCTTGCAATCTTAGGAGGAGTAGAAGGAAAACCTGGTAAGTAGGAAGAAATTTTAGGATCTATTTCTGAAACTTGTACTTTTCATATCTATCAGACATAAGTAGTCCTTGAGAAATCTCTGGGAAAAAAAGGGGGGGAGGAGGCAGCTAGGTGGTGTAGTGGATAGAGCACCGGCCCTGGAGTTAGGAGGACCTGAGTTCAAAGCGGTCCACAGATACATAACACTTACTAGCTATATGATTCTGAGCAAGCCACTTAATCCCAACTGCCTCACCCAAAAGAAAAAAAAGAAGAAGAAAGAAAAATCTCTGCAACCCACTCACCAAAGAGGAATTTTCACCTGTTGGCCTTTCTTCCCCTCCTTTGGGGATGCTTGCAGTGGGGATATGGCTTTTGATATCTCTCTCTGTCTCTCTCTCTCTCTCTCTGTCTCTCTGTCTCTCTGTCTCTCTCTCTCTCTCTCTCTCTGTCTCTCTCTCTCTCCTTGTCAGAGACAGGTTTTTGTTACAGAGTCACAAATGGATCCCAGAAATACAATTTCTTATTGGCTTCAGAAATATAGCTGCATATCATTTATGGCAAGATAGACTTTGGATGCCTTGAGCTTGAGTGTCATGAGACTATCTCTAATTTCAGATATTTGAAATATTGCATTACTCAGTATATCATTTTACAGTAGTGAGTACCACAAATGAAATGGCTATATAACCTTTGCAATTTGCTATGCTACAGATAGGAATTTTTTTCTTTTCTTATGCATGCTTTGATTTCTAGCATTGAGGGAACTCTTCTTTTGAGGTCTTTTGTTCTATGAAAACTCATAAAATAAACCAAAGTCAGACTTTCCTTTTAAGGGGAGGTTTTGACATTGTATAACATGGGATGTGCTACATGGAAATCCATCTGAGATCCTGTACTTACTTTATTGCATTTAGCTATAAAATTGAATACTATGTAACAAGCTTGTTAGATTTTATAGTTTTATCCAGTGACTCAAGTTTTCAAAAGACTCATTTTTAGTTTGCTGTCTTAGGAGATTACTTTATTCCCATAAACCCTTTTTTATGATAATTCAGAGGATGGGGCTCAATTTCAACTCTAATGTTTCTAGCTTCCCTTTCCTTAGTTGCTGAAAATCTATCATGCTTCCATTGTTATAGGAAACTGAAAACTTATATAAATGATTGTTCTCCTATACAGTTGTCATTTTATAAAATAGACTTTTAGATGTATACTAACCAAAATTAATGCAAGTTTTGAGCATTAATAGGTTATCATCTCCCCTGTGTCACACACTAGCGTCGAAAGCTTAGAAAATTTGTCTGCTAATCATAATTTCAATTCCCCCTTGCATATCCTGCTTGTATCCCTTTCTAAAGTTATCCTGAAGCAATCTCTAGTTATAGTGGTGCTCATAATCACAAAGGTGCCACCAATCACAAGGTGCTCTATGAGGCACAAACTATGCGGACATATTTTTCATTGGTCAGCCATCTGTCCTCTAACCATAAAGGATTTACCAGTAGGTTCATTAGAGCTCAGCCTCTCATTGGTTGTGGAGGCATATCATTATTGTGATTCCTAGCTCTCTTGTCCTTGAAATTGAGAGATGCTCTAATTCATCTTCTTTTTCCAAGGATATTAATTCCCAATCTTTATGTTGCCCTTCACAATCATAGGTCAGGAAGCCAGCATGAAAAGGTGTTCAGTGTTAAGGATTTGGATTCTAGGTAGAAACTTCTGTTTCTTTAAAAAAGGCCAGAGTAATGTTTTATTTAAACAAAAACTAATTGTTGAGGGTTTTGGGGGGTTTTTTGTTTTTGTTTTTCAAATCTGAATGTCGTCCCACATGTCTAGTCACTAGTTCATCACTAGTTTCTATTCTGAAATATTCTGGAACATTTTTCTAATGTTTTGCCCAAAATTTTGTAGACAAAAGTTAAGTTCTTCCTTTGATCAAATTAGAACTCCCTACTCAGTCTTTGAAAAGAGGCCTTGCAAGGGGAAGCTTAGTGTCTCAGTCTTAGGTATGGCTTCCTCTTTATTTGCCAACTCAGAAGAGTCTTGAAATTCCAGACCAACAGCATAGTGGAATACCTCTGTGGTGGGATCCAAACACCTATGCTGGTTCTATGTCTTGTCATTGTAACATGATATTTTACAATTTTGATTTCAGACAAGGAGTTGGTTAGCCCCTGCTTTCCTTCCAGTTTTAATGGAGAATGGGAGCATGCTGAAATAACATACAAAATTTCGGGGCACAAAACAGGTATGGCTATTCCTTTTGCTTATTCTTTTCACTTTGAGGATATTGACAGATTAAAGAACAGCCTTCTGAAAAGTTTAGTACTTTGTATTTTTTTTAAATTTTCTTCAACTACCTTTTAGAAAAAAGAAGTGTCACCAAGCCTGTATCATACAGTATTCTTATTGTCTTGAGAACAGCCTGAAGAGTTCCAGTGATTTTTCTTCCCAGGGTTTTGTGATAAACTAGCAGCGGAAACAGGGGTCATTTTCCTGTGCTTATTCCCCTACTCATTGGTTCGGTGTTTTATCAGTGCAGGGTCCATCATGGAGCCTAGAATTACTTCAAGCCCTAGATTCTGCATGAAGGTCATGAAGTCTGGCTCTTAAAAGTCATCATAATCACTGAGAGCATTTATTAAGTGCCTAGGTACACATTAGGCTGTGGTGAGAACTGTACTATAAACATCAAATTAAACAGCGACACTGTCCTCACAGCCTAAGAATGCACCTAACGTACAGGGTCCTGGATAGAACACAAAAAGAAGGAAGTTGGATAGGAAATAGAAGCCAAGCTGTGAAATTTAATTAGATGAACAAGCTGTATGTAAGAGTCACAGTTTCCCATGTCTTTCTTTTTCTGTCCTTTATATATGGAAATGTCCGTGTTGGTCATTTTCTCATTCATAATAAAACTTTTTAAAGCATACAAAAAAGAAAGAAAAAAAAAACTTAATTAGATATTGAGTTCTAAGCCAAAAATAAGTTGGAAACCATTGCACCAGGCAACAATACTAAGTCTAAGCATACAATTTGGTATTCCATAAGTCTCTCTACATTCCCTGCCAGCCTCTGTGTGTCTTTTTTCCAGAAAGGGTATCTTTTCCTAATAAGCTCTTACAATTCCAAGGACCTGGCAAAATAACTGTTCTTCCATTCGCTCAATCACCCACCCATCCCTGGGATTTGGAGCTGAACAAATGTATCTGTGTTATTGGCAAAGAAACATAACCTTTTTGCCAAGTTTGTGAATAGGAAGGGGGGTGGAATCTTGGCATTTTCACTTTGGCAACTGTTGCCACAGAAATAATTTCCCACTCATCTCTCTCCATGCTGCTTAGCAAGGAAAAAAAATGAAACTACTACAGAGAGCCCTGTCAGTGGGTTCCTTCAAGTTATAGTGAATCTGTTACTCAACCTTGGGCAGTCCCGTATTTTAGACTATTGCAAAAAATCATTTGTAAGTCAATAGTTTAGAAATTAGAGCACATTTTCCTGTAGAAACAATGTTAGGAACCCTTACATTCCCAAGCCACTCTGCAACAAAACCATTTGATTTATAAATTACCTGCACCTGAAGTATGTTAAATCTAGTGTTAGAGAATCTAACTGTTTATACACACGTTGCACCCTTATACAAAGCTTATCTGTTAAGCACCTGTGATTTGCAAAGCACTGGAGAAAATTATTACAATAATTAAGAAGAGATACTTAAGGCATGGTCTTTCCCCTCATAGAGTTTATAGTCTAGAGCAGGGGTGGGGAACCTGTAGCCTCAAGACCACAGGTTTCCCATCCTTGGTGTAGAGAGAAGATACAATATATACACAAATATGCAATACTACACAAATATACATCTAGCAGAGAATAAGCTATAAATACATAAGGCAGATAAAATGTGCTTTTGCAAGGTTAGAGGAAAGACATCTTTTCTGATGAAGGAAATCAGAGAAGGTTTCCTAGAGGATCTTGAGCTGGATCTTAAAATGTAGATTTTAACCCCCCCAAAAAAGGTAATTAGCCATGTCTTATAATGAAATTGTATTTGGAGTCCCATCATCATCTCCATTACCTTGCTTTATGACTCATTCGTGCACATATGTGTATGTGTGTGTGTACATATATATATATTAGTAGGTATATATGTGTATATATATATATATACACACATACATATATGTATGTATGTGTATGTGTGTTATATTAATATATGTTGATGCTTTACTCCTCTATGATACCATCTCCTTGAAGGCAGAGACTGGGTCTTCTATAAACTTCATATTTCCTGGCACCTAAAACTGTACTGTCCACTCATTAGACATTTAAACAATGGGAACAGCTCTCCATCCACAGCAGCCTTGGGAGGATCAGGAACTCAGTCCTTCTTAACTTCCTCCCTGCTCCACCCCCCCCCCCCAAGTGGGCATTGAAAACAGGGACTTTCCTAGTTCCAAGCCACTGGTAATAACTTCTGGGGCATAGGATAGGGGCTCCATGGCCAGTCAGGTGAAGGACTTCAGAGTTGGGGGTGATAGGTCTGGAGACAAAAAACTTGGGCAGAAACCTTTTGAAGATTAGGACAATGATAGAGATTTGGAGAGATGATCTAGCCTGGATTAGTTTGAAGGGATTAGTTTGAAGAGTTTGGATGTGAGGTAGAAAGAAAAGGTGCAGTTGGTGGAGTCTGGAGTTTCAGGGTGAATAACCACGGAGGGCCTAATACTTCCTGTCAGTATGAAACCCCATGGACGCTTCTCTATCCCATTACTCTTTTTATCTCCTGTCTACTACTCAGTCCACTGAAGCAAAGCATCTTAGAGTGTTAGACTTGGAGTCATGAAGTCCTGGGTTCAAATCTTGTCTCTGATATTTACTAGCTATGTGGCCTTTGACAAGTCAATCTTTCTTAGCCTTAGTTTCTTCGTTTATAAAATGAGAATAAGGATAATACCTGCAGTACCTACATCAGAGGATTGTTATAAGGTTCAAATTAAATATGCACACTTTAAAGGGTAAATGTCAGTTATCTGTCTTTTAATCATGGTTTCTCTCCTCCTCTGGCCCTGTTGGCAAAAGAACCCAGGCTCATATGTTTTTCCCTATCAGAGAGCCCTTTTAAGGTTTTGTTTTTCTTTTAAGGGCTTTGCCTACTAATAACAATGGAGAACAGATAAAGATAATATGTTTTCCCTCCTATTTTCCTATACTTCTACTTTCTCCTTTTCCTCATTTAAACCCTGTAGGGAAAAATAAAGGTAATGATGGTAGATATTTGGGTACACCAAGGGCTAAAGTATAAGATTCATCTTCATTTCACCATAGGTTTGGGTTTAAGAGACAGGCCTCTGAGGGGACAGTGATGAGAAGATAGGACAGAGCCTGGGAAAGCTGCCAAGCAAACATCACAGAAGGGAAGATTGGAGGGAGGGAGGATTAACCTCCACTAATTCTGCCACCCCAGACCTTATTCTGGACTGACTGGCCCTGGGAAATGTAAATATGGAGCAGAGAGTAAGAAAGAATGTCCTATTCTAGATAATCCTAAAGCAGCCAGAAGGAAAGGGAGAGAAAGCCAATCATTGACCATAGGAAAGGAAGGGAAGTTTCTGTGACCAGCAGGCCACTTGGGCTATTCATATGTAAGAGATGTATATGAATAGAACGTATATAATTTGAGAATTACCCGTAGTCTCCCAGGTTTTTTTTAGAGGTATCCTTTGGGCTTTTAATGTCAGTTAATTTTATATATCTTCCTTAACCGTACCCAACCAACCAAGAGACCTTGTAAACTTAATTCCATGTCTTAATGTGTTAACTTTGTACAAATCGCCTACCTTGACTATGCATTTGATTTCTCTGTAAAATGAGGACACCACCACTTGCCCCTCCCTATCTCCTATGACTGTTGTGAAAATAAATTAGCTAATGTACGAACTCAGAATTCTTCAGAAGAACTGTGCAAAATCAGTCCAAATAATTATATCATTCTGGTGGTTATTGCTGGGCCTCTATTGCTCAAGAAACTTCATTTTTGTTTTCCCAATCCCCTAAGCCCGTTTTAGAACCATAAAATATTATTGTTTAAATCAATTCAGAAGAATCTCTTCAGTTCCCACCCTGTAACAGACATCATGCCAAGGACACAAAAGACAAAAGTGAAATGGTCCCCACCTTCAACAAGCTTACTTATATTTCTTCCTTATCTTTGCCACAAAAAGCTATTGGAGCTTCTTGATCAGATGAGTGACATGGTCAGAAAGAATCTTTGGGAAAATCATTTGGGCAGTTCTGTGGAGTATAGACCTGAAGCAGGAAACCAATTGGAAAGCTGTTTCATTAGTCCAAGTGACAGACGAAGAGATGGTGTTTGTGGAGGGGCTGGATATGAGAGATTTGGGGGAGACAAAAATGATAAAATTTGGTATCTAATTGACTGAATATGTAGGCTGTGACAGTGAGTAAGCAAAAATGATACCAAGGTTACAAAGTCATGCCCTTGACAGTAGTAAGGAATTTTTTTAAGAGATTAGGGGGAATATTAGAAGAGATTGGAGTTTGGGAGAAAAGATGAGTTCTCTTTGGGCCCTTTTGATTTTGTGGTGCCTGTGAGACATCCAGTTCAAAATGTCTAATGGACAGTGAGTAATGTGGATCTAGAGCTCAGGAGAGAGACTAAGCCTAGCTGTATCTGGGAGTCACCTGTACAGGGGTGATGTAAACTCATGGGAACTGATAAAGTCACCAAGTGAGGTAGTGTAGAGAGACAGCCCTGTGGCACACCCAAAGTTAGTGGGCATGATATGGATGCTAAACCAACAAAGAAGACTGGGAGAGAACCAAGAGAAAGCACATCCATGAGAACTAAGAATGTAGAAAGTATCCTGGAAGAAATAGTGGTCGGCTTTGTCAAGAGAGGTCACAAAGGATGAAAACCGAGAAAGGGCTATGAAATTTTGCAATTATGTGATGATTGTTAATTTTGGAGAAAGCAATTTGATATGAATAATGTAGTTGGAAGCTATCTTTCAAAGTGGTTAGAAGAAAATGAGAGGAGAGGAAGCAGAGGCAATGACTATAGGTGGCTTTTTCTAGGAAATTGGCTGATAAAGTCAGATTATGGGAGACCCAACAATATGATGGCTGGGTCTAGTGATGTTTTTTTTAAAGTTGGGAAGACTCGAGCGTGTTTTTAGGCGTCAGGCAAGGAAGCAGTGATTGGGAGAAATTGACGATGGGGGATGGCTGCAGGAGCAGTCTACTGAGGAAGATGGAAAGGGATGGAATTAAGTGCACATATGGAGGGGGTGCATTTAGGGTTAGGCCTTGGTGAGGAGAAAGGCCACCTCATTATCAGAGGCACGAGTAAAGGAATATAATGGCAAGTGATAGTGCGATATGGAGAAGGGGAAAGTACAGAGCTCACACTAACGGCTTTCCTCAGAACAAGAGGTAGTAGTCATTCATGTACTTCCACCCATGTATGGATGGTATTGTAAGAGATAATATAATGTTGTGAAGAGTGAAATAGAGAGAGACCTGGATTCAGATCCATGATACTTACAATGGCTGTGTAACCACTGGCAAATCACTTAATATTTCTGAGTTTCAATTTCCTTATATGTCCTGTGTCTTTGTTAATACCTATAGTATTTACTTCACAGGATTGTTATGAAGATCTGAGTATGTAAAGCTCTTTGCAAACCTTAAAGCTCCAAAAAGATGTCAGCAGTTATTATCATCATCTCATTAGTCATGCAGTCTAGAATTTTTTTTTCTATTTGGGGCTAGAGTAATGAAAATTCACTCAGCGTCATAAACTATTAACTTATTCTCCCCATCATCTTTTAATAGTTTAGTAATTTCCAGATCCGATTAAGAAAACAGGAAGCTTATGAGTTTTCTTTGGCATATTTGGCATCTTGTTTCACGTTTAATTGAACTACTTCACAAATTAAATATGCAGAAGACCATTAGGTCCTCATATATATGTGTGCTTAGTAATTTTCAAAAACCATAACCAATTGTATGTTTCTTTTGCTTTTAGGGGTTCACCTGTATGAATTGTGCTCTAAAAGAGTATCAGAAATCATCCGTAACAAGGTGCATAAAACTGAAGAAGTCAAGAACTTGGATTTTTATGCTTTTTCTTACTATTATGATCTTGCAGCAAATGTTGGTCTCATAGGTAAGGAAATGTTACTTGTCCTTTTCATGCCCAATTTAGTGGTGCTAGAGTTAAGATGGTCTTCAAATACCAGATCTCTTTTATGACCTCTGGAAGAATTTGTTTCCCCCTTCACTCTTAATCATGTTAAAGGAACCATGGAGATAAGATTATGGAAATATGCTTGAAACTGTTTTAGGAATCACTGACAGTCCTGTTGAGAATATATTTTATGGGTGAGGAGGGCTGGGAGGAAGACAATAGACCAGACCTTTCATTTCTGTAGAGAATTTTCATTTCATTTCTGTAGAGAATTCCCAGTGAGCAAACTACTACCAGTGTGGGTCAGTGCATTCTCCACAACTTATAGCCCTAGAGGGTTTCCAGGTGCACTGAGCCATTAAGTAATTTGCCCAGAATCAAACAGCTGCTATGTGTCAGAGGAAGGATTAGAATCCAGGTCTGAGGCTGATTGTCTCTCCACTACGCCAGGACTGTCTATGGTATCATAATTCTGAATTAAGGAGGTACTAACTTAGTTTTTAGAAATTAATGAGTTTATTGATACCACCAAAACCATCATTTCTTTTTTATATTAAAAGATACCTTACACTTATATGACACTTTTCTTTAAGACAGGGGTGTGACCTTTATACCAATAAATTGAACCCAAATCTAGCAAGTTTCCATGAAATGTAGCTAAAGCAGCATCTTAACCCTGCCTTAGGGACAGACACCATGGACAGAACATCAGTGTCCCCACTTTGATTAGAATTTGGAGGTAGCACGCATCATTTTTCTGAGGAAAGAATTTGCATGCCTTAAAGCACTATGCAAATGTTAGTTATTTTTGTATCACCTCTGCCACCTACCTGATTATATCTCAAGCCTCTCCTTGTCTAAGAAAGACTTGCAGTGGAAGGGACCAACTTCCTCAATCCTACCAGTTTCTTCTGAATAGTTCAGAATGGTCTAGAGACATAACTTAATTCATCTTTATATATCCTAATGAGATAAGCCAGGGTTAAGAGTTTTGCTCTCCTTGTGAGGAAGATCTGAGTCTACTTCATTAGAGGGGACCATGGTCCCTTTAATAAAGTGCCATTGGCTCAGAAAAAAAAAGTTTTGATTTCCACTTAAACTATTAGGCAGAGAGGTAATAAAAGTCAGATGAGTTGAAAAAATAAGGGGTAAACCTGGTCATTTCCTTTTAAACTAAAACCCAAATTGAAGTATATTGCCTGGAGTTGGGGGCAAATAAAGATTTGAATCATTACATGAAATTACCATCTTTCTCAGAATCTTCAAATAGCTCTGGATAAACAGTACTCAAATGGAACTGTGATCTTAATGTGAGTATTCCTTCAACAGTATAGAGCAACCCACCCATGCCTGACCTTCCTGTGTGATTCTGGTCTATGTCTTCCTATAAGTTTTCCACAGGGGGTCCACCCAATGTTCTGGGAGCTTTCCTCTCTATCTTTTTGACATTACCATAGAACCAAAGGAACATAGGCTAACTACTGGCTATCCCATGCTCTTACCACCTGACCAATCTGATTTCTTTGATCACATCCTTTTCATCACTTTTTTAACATAATTCTTTGTTTATAATGTGTTGCAGCTTGCTCATACGTTTTTTGTACCTCTACATTACCCTTTGAGCATTTCTTAACTTCAGTTCTTTTAGAGTCTAAAGTGTTCTACTTGTAACCACACACACACACACACACATACACAATATACATGTGCGCACGCACATGCACACAAATATTGATATTAAAGTAGCGGGCCTTCGTTCTGAGAAGCAGCTTAGGTTAATTAAAGAACCTTTGTAGCATCCCATGGGCATCACAACCTACTCTCTTTCTATTCAAATCTCTGCCCAGCTCACTGTCCATTTATACTGTCCATGATGTATCTACTGATAAATGAACTCTGTAGGTTGTCTATTCAACTGCATATTCATAGTCTGGACAATATTCTTCATACACTTTGTATATTTTCTGTGAGATAGGACATATTCCTTTGGATGACTGGATCTCATTTAGGTTCTGCAGTATTCCAGAGCTTGATGCAATTAACAGACTTTGATCTAATAACAGAAGAAGCTGGAGGACCTTGTCATCTATAAGGAACCCTTCCTTAATGTGGAATTGGTGTTGGATTTCCATGACTATTATATATGCCTTTGGCAAGTCTACATCTGGCTATCTTATACTTCACTTATTATTAATGATCATCAAAGTTATCTCTGTTACATCTTTCAGTGAATCTTGTATAATTTTGATGTGTTCTTGTGCATTACCTTGTTGGACATTTTAAGACAGTGTAAGATTTAGACAAAAATCTTAATTTAAGACAATTCTACTGAATCAAATGCTCTTTTATAATCAGCAGACAAAAAGCACAGTGGAATTTTACATCCTTTACATCCTTTAGTCAAATGTTTTATGGTAAAGGTGTGGTCTTCTAAGAAATGTCACTTGTCAAAACCTGCCTTTTTAATACGTTCCATCAAGGATATTCTCCTTTATTATTCAAAGGGATTCAGATTGTTAATCCTGGATTATTCTTTCATTTTTGTATAGGTGAGAAAGTATACTTATTGGTCAGCAGTAGTTATTAATGTTCTCTTGGCCATTTTTTTTTTTTTTTTATAACAAGGTCTGAGTTTTTGGTTGGAGATTTGTCCCCCCATGCTTTTGGTACCTTTCCTTCCTTCAAATACCTTGAGAATCAATGTCTGGTCCCTCAAAATTGTGTCACCTCCAGCACAGATATTCTTTGTGTATTCCCAGTCTAGACCATCCTTTCTTGTCTTTTTTCAGGGCCATTTCCGCTTTCTTTGTAAGCATATCCAGTGCTATTATCTTAGTGTTTGAATGTGGTTGGTTCCATTGTCCATAATGATGAAGAGTTTGTTGTAAAAATATTGTGTTCCTTCCAGTTTTTTCTTAAAAGGCCCTCAGGATTACATTTACCAAACTTTCTTTGAACTAATTTTCTTCTCTGCTCCTCCTCACTCTTATATGAGGAAATAATGCCAACCAATCTCCTAAACAACTTTTTAAAACAAGTTTATATTCTAAATCAGTGTTGCCCATGGCTGCCATACTTTTCTACTTCCCAAGTGAGTTGTATGTTTGTAGACTGAGGCTTTTAAGCACTTTTGGCCTCGTTAAACAGTTGATTAAATTATCTGTATGAAAAAGCTATAATCAGTGTTAGTATCATTTTTCCCATCCATTTCCTATTTCCCGGTATCAGTAGTTTGTTTAAATACAACAGGTCAGAGATTTAATTACATGTTATATCTTTTTCACTTATTCTTCTGCTTCATATTATATCAATTTGGATTTTTGCTTTAACACGCTAGTGATCCAACTGTATACAAACTGCTGATTCAGGAATAATTCCCACATCAGTAATGCATAGTCCTTTTTTAAAATACAGTCAGTTTCATTTTTTGTGATGTTATTTAGTGCTTTACATACCCAGTGCCTTAGGAATTTTTTTCCTCAAAAAAAAAAAGGTTAATGTTATATAGACATGAGGCTTCTGTATTCTATGCAGGTCCTTGGCCTCTCTAATTCCTTATTCCTGAGCTCTATTTGTCAACATATTTTCACTCTTATTTGTCCCTACTTTTGGATTGAAGTCATCAGAATCAAAATATATGTTGATTTAACTTGGAGGGTCTTAAGGAAAATTCTTTGTAGAATGTCTCTGCCTCTTTATAATCTGCAACAGATATTATGATGTAAAATGCAATTATTTCCTTGGTGGTCTTTTTGCAAATAATTCTCAGGAGCATTGAAACACAAGTTGACAAAATGTCCCATGATATGATACCATGATATGATATTTCAACCAATTTCTTTATTCACCTCACCAAGAATAACCTATGAGCTATTCTTCTATTTAGCTTCATCTTCTTCCTGAAGATTCTTTTGATGGTAGGATGATCTGGGTTTCTTGGGGTGTAGTTGATAGGATGCTAGACTTGGAGTCAGGAAGATCTGGGTTCAAATCCTGCATCCAGCTGTGTAATCAAGTTATTCAACCTCTTAGAGCTTTCAATTCTTCATTTGTTAAATGGGGATAAAGATGTTTTTGTACCCACCTCACAAGGTTGTTGTAAGAGTTTCCAATGGAGTAATATATGTAAAATATTTTACAAACTTTAAACCAATTATGTATGTATGTATGTATCAATCAATTAGTATTCAGTGCCCTTTGCCAATTTTTGACCATGTTAGTTAAAGTACCGGATGGTAAGTAACGGTAGAAGAAGAAAGACAGCTAGTCCATATTTCTGTGGTTATGCAATGTTTTTGTCAGTGTGGGTAGACAGATGGCTTGGGAGTTGAAGAAGAGAGAGTATGTTCCCTTGTTCATATCCCAACAAATTCACAGGTGTCATAAACTAAAAAAGTTGAACTCCAGGCTAGACTATAGTTGGTATAGTATAACCATAAAGGCAACACATATTGTTTTCCTCTTAATCTGTTCATTTTTCACATTCTGGGAAACATATACTAAAAAACAACAGCAAAACATTCGAAATCTATTTGAGTTTATTCCTTCAGGGTACCAGAACATAATGAAACTCCCCCTCCCCCTGGAAAAGCATAGGGGAATTTACCTATCCAAATTAGTGTTGTCACCTTGGCAGGCTATACAATTAATTCCAATGATGCAACCACTGTTCAAAACATTTTTAGAATTGAAAAGAGCCCCGGATTTGGAGTCTCAATATCTGGGGTCAGATCCTGGCTGTGCAATGAACCCCCTGTGTAGCCTTGAGCCTATAAAATAAGAGAATTGGATTAGAATTAGGAGTTCTTAACCTTTTTAATCGTGGACCCCTGTGGCAGTCTGGTAAGGCCTCTGAACCTGTTCTCAGAATAATGGTTTTAAATGTATAAAGTAAAATGCATAGAATTGCAAAGGAAACCAATTATATTGAAATGAAGATATAATTTTTTTTTCCCATCCAAGTTCATGTACCCCCTGAAATCAATCTACAAACCTGTTGGGGTGTCTGTTAAGAGACTATGGACTAAACAATCTCTAAAGTCTCTTTCAGCTCTGTGTCCTTTGATCTTGTTTTAAAATTTATTTCACCCTGGGCAAGAAATTACTTAAGTTCTTAGTGCCCCAAGCAACTTTGTACCATGGTAATTTGCAAAGAAGGTGCTGATCTGCAGGAAATTCTTCACCAGTAAATCCCTACCAAAAAAAAACATAGGTGTGGTAAAATATATATGTGCATGTACACACATACATGTGTATATTGTACATATGCATATTTGCATGTATACACAAATACATGTGTGTTACGTGTGTGTGTACGTACAGATACAAAGAGAGTCACACCTTAATTTATTTTTAACCAAAAATGGTATTGCTTTGATTACCAGACTTAGCTTTGAATAACCTCTGGATTATTTCCAAAAGTCATCGATTTACCACCACGAAGGATATTCAAAAAACTCTGCCAAAGGCTCCAAAGCCATTTCCCAAGGAGGAACTTCCGAAATATTTTAAACAGTGTCACCTTTGGATTGTGTGTGTAGAGCCTCTCACGGTGACTCCTTTGAAGTTGACGAGTCATTTAAAGGTATAAACCCAAAATGATTGTTTAAAAAATCAGACAAATGCCCTCAGAATAAGACCTCGTGGTCTTCCTGGGAAGCTCCCAAAGGGAGATGAATCAAGCTTTTAATGCCTGCTCTCATTCTGCAGAATACCATGAAAGAGATCTTAATGTTCCCAGGAGGATTTTTAAGAGAACAGCCAACTGCGTTTACTGGGTTTGTTTTGTAGACTCAGAAAAATTATTCCAGAAGGCTACTACCAAATCTGTCCCACAGCTAAGGAACAGCTTCTTGAACTTCAGGATTTTTTATGAACCTAGATTTAGAATTGTATTGATCCTTAGAACAAGGAAGTATCTGCTTGGTGATTTTCCTCTCTTGGCTGACACCTTTGAAATCAAGGAGCCCTCCAAGGCCCTTTGACTATGTTTCCCCTTCATTCCCCTTTATGATCCTGTAGAGGATGCATACCTTTCCTGAAGCTCTGTCCTATTAAGAAAAGATAATACATACGGCAGCAGTTTCTGCAGATTCAGTTTTCACCACCACTCTATCCTAAAAAACTTGATTAGGCAAGGAAAATTACAATAATGATTTTATGGAACTTTAAAAACATAGTGGCAAGTCAAATTATTGCACTGCAGGCCATAGTTTTTCCCTTTTTCATCTTTAGCATTGTTGTATAATCCGCAGCATGGTATTAATGATTAGAGTGCTGGGTTTGGAGTCAGGAAGATCTGATTTCAAAACTTGCCTCAGACACTAACTGTGTGAGCCTTGGCAAGTTGCATAGTGTCTCAGATGACTGACTCCAAAGGGGACTTACTTGCTAAATTATAGATCACATAGAAGGAATTTCCATATAGAGCATTCCCTAGCTCAGGGATGGGAAACTTGCAGCCTCAAAGTCACATGTGGCCCTCTAGGTCCTCAGGTACAGCCCTTTGACTGAATCCGTACTTCACAGAATAAATCCCCTTAATAAAAGGATTGTTCGGTTAAACTTGGACTGAGTCAAAAGGCTGCACCCAAGGACCTAGAAGGCCACATGTGGCCTCAAGGCCACAGGTTCTCCACCCTTGCTAGCTGATGAAATCACAGATTCCTGTGTGTGATGACCTGGAATCCAGAATCTTTGTAAAAAATTAACATTTTTCTTTTCTTACAGATAAGGAAAAAGGAGGCAGTCTCACAGTTGAAGACTTTGAAGTTGCAGCAAAATATGGCAAGTAAAGTTAGACCTTTTGCATGTTGGAAGTAGGCCCCAAAGGACAATTTCCATGTCAACATGGAAGGCAGCCACATAGCTAGGATTAATATTCTGGATTCTCGGGGGCAACTAGGTGGTGCAGTGGATAGAGCACCAGCCCCAGAGTCAGGAGGACCTGAGTTCAAATGTGTCCTCAGACACATAACACTTACTAGCTGTGTGACCCTGGGCAAGTCACTTAACCCCATTGCCTAGCCAAAAAAAAAAAAATATTCTGGATTCTCCTTTCTTGATTCTGTCCACTAGACCATACCATCTTTCTAATAATTACTTACTCTTTACAGTGTCAGATATGCAGTGGTTGGTTATGAATTTTGTGTATCACAATTTGCTCCAATGATATTTTCTAATTATTGTTTTGTGTGGGCTGCATTAAATTCAGTATTAAAGCTGTTGTTTGTTCTTACCAGAACATAGATGGTAGCCAGTTGATAAGAGATTGCCATCTCATACATCCTAATGCCACAGAATTTAGTTGTACTTGGGTCAGAAATGTTACTTTACCTGGTTGGTAGGTTCCAAATGCTCACTTCTGCAACTGCAGTTTTGAAATTATTTGTGTATATGCTCCAAAATTAATTCCATTTTAATTCAACAAATATTAACTGCCTACTTTATGTCTGACATGTCCACTAGCTTCCGGTGATACTAAGGCAAAAAGGAAACAGCCCTTCTCTCCAGAAGCTTACATTCTCTATTATACCGAAGAATGTTAAATGTTATTTTTCTTAAGATTTTATTCATTTAAAGGAATGTACCTTTTACATAGTAGGCCTTCAATAATGTGTGTTGAATTGAATGTTCTGTGGCTTTCAAGAAAAGCCAGAACAATCGTCTTCAATTGTATAAAATAGCTAATTTGTAATTGTCCATGATTTGATGCCAATTTAATGTCAGTAGAGCAGGGGTGGAAAACCCCAGTCCTTGGCTGGATTTCATCTGACCTTCAGGACACAAACATAGAATCTTGGAGTTTGTAGGAATCTTATCTGTATTCAAATTCAACTCACTCCATGAAGAAATTGCCCTATAGGATTCTGCTAGGTAACATACCTGACATACAATTTATACTTGAATCTTTTCAGTGACCTCACAAAGCACCATTTTCTAGATACCTGTTAGAATGTGTCTTATATTGTTCTTATATTGAATGTTCTTATGTAAGAATGTTCTTATATTGAACCAAAAACTGCTTCCCAGTAATTTGCATCTATAAGTCCTGGTAGTTCTAACATTCTAGAAGTATAAAGAATAAGGCACCAGCCCCTCAGATATGTGACTATAGCTATAAAGCTGCTCCCCTCTTCCCCTAACTAGGTCTTTTCTTTAGACTGAATATCCCCAGTTCTTTCTACCATTTATCACATAAAATGGTTTCTAGATCCCTCGCTGTCCAGATTGCTTCTTCTGTATGACCTTAACAAGAACTCTCTAAAGTATAGCAACTGGACCTGAGCACAGTACTCAAAATATGTGATCAGTTGAAAGGACTTTTATCCTCTCATATCCCAAACACAGTACTTCTGATAAAACCTAAGATTTATTAGCATTTTTAATAACCAGCTTTACTCTTGACCATTTCATTGAGCTTGATGTCAGTTTAAACCCCTAAGCCTTTTTTTTTTTCCATCATGGGCATTCCAACCATGTCTTCCCAGTACTATAATTTTTCATTTGATTTCTCAAACCTATTTGGCCCATCATACTAGCCTTTTGAGATTTTCCTGGATTCTGATTTTGTCCTCAAGAATATTTATTATTTTTCCCAGCTTTGTCATCTGTAGATTGATGTCTTTCTGTGTTTGCAAATTATTGATAAGTATGTTAAAAAGAAAAGGGCAAAGGCATGCTTTGTCCATTTTAACAATGTGCTGGTCATTGTCAATGCAGCCCAGAGAATAATTTCTTCCCAGCAAATTTATAACAATATTATGTATATCACAGCTTAAGAATTCCTTCAGCATGAAACTTTTGCAGACTAAAGAGCTAGGAACAGAATTATAGTCATAATTAGCAAAAGGAAGTGACAAAAATATTCTTTCTCAGAAGCTAGAAGCCTCAATATAATTGGATTTCATAATAAAGTAGTGATTTACCTATTACTTAAGCTGCTGGAGGCTTTTCTCCCCTCCTGGGTTTTTTTTTTTCCCTATTTCTTCTGCCCCTCTCTATCCCTTCTTCACTGTTTTTCCCTCAAGCTATCCCTCTCTGTGACTGTCCTTTCATTTTCCTCAGTTCCCTTTCCCTTCAGTCATTCCCTTTCCTCCCTTTCTTCTCTTTCCTTTATCTCTCCTGGCCTAAGTTAATTGCAACACAGAATTGAAACTGCAATTTAAATATTCTTTTAATTGGCTAACATTTTATGTTACCATTCTTAATTTTAAAATCACCCTTTAACCCAGCAATAGCACTTCTAGGGCTATATCCCAAAGAGATCACACAAACGGGAAGAGGGCCTACATGTACAAAAATATTCATAGCAGCTCTTTTCATGGTGGCAAAGAATTGGAAATTGAGAGGATGCCCATCAATTGGGGAATGGCTGAGCAAGTTGTGGTGTATGAATGTGATGGAATATTATTGTGCTATAAGAAATGATGAACAGGCTGACTTCAGAAAAACCTGGAAAGACTTATATGGTCTGATGCTGAGTGAAGTGAGCAGAACCAAGGGAACGTTGTACACAATAACAGCCACATTGTGTGATGACTAATATTGAAAAACTTAACCCTTTCTGGCAATACAAGGATCTAAGACATCTCCAGAGGCTTTGTGATGGAAAATGCTATCCACACCCAAAGAAAGAACTATGGAAGCTGAATTGCTATTTTTTTTCCTCTTCTGTTGAGTTTTGTTTCCTCTTTCTGATGGTTCCTTCTATTGGTTTTAATTTCTACTTATAACATCACTAATGTGAAAATATGTTTAATATGAATGTAAATGTATAGCCTATATCAGATTATGTGCCGTTTTGGGGAGGGTGGTGGGGAGAAAGAGGGAGAAAAATTTTAAACTCAAAAGCATATGGAAGTGATTATTGATAAATCAAAATTAATTAAAAAAAGGTTTAAAAAAATTTTTAAATCAGATGTTTAGTTACTGTCTTCTCCCCCCAAAAAAACTTCTAATCATTTAAATTAAGTTGATTTTTACTTCTGTGTCATACGCTGTTGATTATTTTTTTTCCCTGTTTATCAATAACCCTTCATAGAAGGAAATCGCCAAGAGATTATTTTTTTGTAGCTGATCTCATAAATGTCACAGAGAATTATTCTGAGTTAGGAATGTGTTGCTTTTGCAATGTAAGTAGATGGTATTCACAGTGACTTTTTAAAAACGTGTATAGAGTCACAGTAAAGAGAGAAGATAAGAGAAAGATGTGGCTTTCTTCTCCATATTTATCATATCAAAAAAAAAAGCTAATTCCTGTTCTTAAGTTAATCATTTCAAAATTAGCTGTGAAATGGAAGGTGATTTTCCTTTTTTATTCCCCCTAGTTTGTAAAACCATGGAAATTAACCCACAGGAGAATCCTTTTATTTGTATGGACCTTACCTACATTAGTTTGCTACTTCAAGAATTTGGGTTTCCAAAAACCAAAGTGCTTAAGGTAAGAGTCTGCTACTTTTATACTCCTGACAATCTCAAAAATAGAATGCCAATCCTTTACGGCAGAATTGTAAGAACTGTAATCCTAACACAGAAATCTCCAATATAATTTCCTTTTACAAATTATTATGATAGTTTGAAAAGGATACTAACATAAATTTCATTCAAAAAAACCAATAGCTACAAGAACTCAAAAGGACTTTTAAGTGTTATAGTAATATTAAATTCTGACCATGCCAAGAATTAAAAACTCCAAGGAATTTCTACTAAAAAGAGTACTTTCAAGATGACCTGGTCATATCATATGCATAGTTATGTATATTTTACATAGTTTCTTTTGTAAAAGAGGAAATAAAATTTAGTAAAGTTATAACTTTTTGACGTATAAACTTTTTATTAATTAAATCTTACTTGATGGATAAACTTTTCAAATGGACTAGTGGTAGTTTGTTAAAAGAAAACAAGTCAGAGTAAGTTACATAGTGAAGTGATCAAATCATACTTTAGAGTTATTCCATTTCCAGTATCTGACTTTTTAGTATCCCTTATCAGTTAGGATGTGTTGATTGGTAGAAATCAGATGTGACTGTCCTGTATATATCCTATTTGAGCATAGATTCCAGTGAACAATTTAGATCTGGAAGAGATTTCAAAAGCCCAACACCCACCCCCCACCCCACCCCCAGTTTACAAATGAGGAAACTAAGGCTAATAAAAATTAAATTATTTGCGCAGGATCATGCCAGCCAGCAAGTGTCAGAAGTGGGATTTGAACCTCGGTCTTCATGACACCAAATCCAGCATTCTGTCCACTATACCACATTTTTTTAACATGACCTTTAACCATGGCAGCTAGGTGGCACAATGGATAGAGCACTGGCCCTGGAGTCAGTAGGACCTGAGTTCAAATCCATCCTCAGACACATAACACTTACTAGCTGTGTGACCCTGGGCAAGTGACTTAACCCCATTGACCTAGTCAAAAAACAAACAAACAAACAAACATGACCTTTAACTATTTTCTTTTAAACATGATCTTTATCCACACTCTTTAACATAATCTTTTTCTCTTTTTTTTTCTTTTTAAGCTGGCTCGGAAAATTGATGATATCGAAACCAGTTGGGCTCTGGGAGCCACTTTTCACTACATTGATTCACTCAACAGACAACAGAACAAAGTTTCATAGTGCCTGAGACCTTCATATAAGCCTTATTTCGAAGAATATTGCCAAGCCTTTTTTGAGCAGAGCCCTTGAGCACCTTAATGAGGGGTCAGTGATATTACTCTGGAAGTTTTTCCACAAGAGTTGCTACAGTCTCCATGAGAACCTGACACCTTTGTGGAATTTATGTGACTCCATCTTCTATTGAACGGCATTTGGGAACAGTTTGGTGAACAGCCAAGTAAACATTTCCCAATTGTGTTAATTAAATCTTAATTTATTATGATCTGATTTTTAACAAAGACTTCACTATTTATGTTTTGGAGAGTTTCTATTGGTGCATTGTGTTGCCTTTGCAATGCTAACCGTTGGGACACCTACATTGACGTTAGTGTGTGGACAATAGACTGCTTTGTTTTATTCAATCCAGAATGCATTTTTGGTCCAATTTTGAAGGTGCATAATTTGTTCAGTGTCCATACAACCCATACCTGATGGCAAGGCAGACTTCTATAGTTATTCTAGAGGAGCTTGAGTGACCTAGGCACTTTTCATTTACTTAAGGGATTATTTCATCTCTCACTAGTTTTATGTGGACAGAAGAGTGATGTGAGTAAGTGTAGGCCAGTTTTCTTCAGTCAATAGATGACAGCCCCCTTCACAACTGGCCAGAAAGTTGTGAAAAGGAGATATTTTTCAGCATTTCTAGTACTGTGAAGCTCCTCTCTCATGGCACGTGGGTTATTTCCATCCCATCCTTCTATTCCTATCTGCTTGCTTCTATAGTGACCTTAACTTCTCCATCTACTCCTTGGAGAAGAAGTTGGTGAAGAGATAACATACAACTTGGTGGGTTTTGTCTTCCCTTTGAGTTGACAAAGTAAAAATTAAGCCCCAGTAGGATAGACTAATCCTAAGGGTAGTCTATAGAGAACCTTAGAGTTGAAAATGTTTATCTCTTTATGTATATTCAAATTCAGTTTTTCCAGAGACCAGCCCTGCTAAATGCTTACAAGGTTTGGTTTTGGATTTAATTCTTTCTTCACTAGAAGAGTTGTCACTGTGATTGCACTGTGATTATCCTATCTCCAGGGAAGACACCATAGAAAATGGTAGAATTGCATCCTCATCTTATGTGCCACTGGCTACAAGACTAAATGATGAGCATAATTATGAGTATTAATGGATATAAATACATTTACTTTTGTTTTTTGTTTTTTTTCCCCCAAATTTCTTCACTTGAAGACTCATTAAGTTTTCAGGCTTTCTGAGTGTCCTTTCCCCCTTCTCTGGGCATTGTCTTCCCTGTCCGAATGAATGTATTGCTGCATTGAGCCAGGTTTGCAGCCAAGCAGGGTTGGTAACTAGAACAGTGTCAGTGCTATAGGGAGATCAAGGGAAATGTTTTGAAGCATCGAACACTGACTTTGTGAAAATTTTTCTATTCCATCTGAAACTGGACTCAAGTTCCCAGAATTTCCCCACCACTCTTCCTGAAATTACAGACAGACTGTAGGATATTTATGAACATGCAGTGGCATTTTAGGTACTAATACTAGTACTAATATTACTAGTATTATGTCCTAGTATTACTCGTATTAGGTACTAACTCACCTCAATGATCTCCAAACGTCTGACTGTAAACTACCTCCATGGTGCTGTCTCCATATATATTGGTTACCTAGAGTTTATGGTGGAGGAGATGCTGTTCTTGTTCTGCCAAAACACCGTTTAGGTACTCATCAGTCATTTCTTAAAAACCATCTGTGCCCGTAAATACTTGAAACAGCTAAATGTTATATGTGTTCCCCAAAATAAAAAAAAAGTTTACAACTGTCATCTTTAACTCTCTGTGTGCTTGATGAGTGAGTATGCAAAAAAGATCTGTGAACAGACTTTAAAAGGTACCATCATTAAGTCTAATTAATTTTATCATCAGTAAAAACAACTCTTAGGAGTTAGAAGCAGCTGGATGGCACAGTGGAGAGAGTACTGGACTTAGAGTCAGGAAGATTGGGGTTCATATGTGGCCTCAGACACTTAATAGCTGTGGGACCCTGGGCAAGTCACTTAACCTCTATCAACCTCCATTTTCTTAGCTGTAAAATGAGGATAATAACAGTATTTACCTCCCACGGTGGTTGGAAGGACCAAATGAAATAATATATTTAAAGTGCTTGGCACAGTGCCTGGCTCATAGTAGGCACTCTACAAATGCATATTTCCTTCTTTCCTCATGAATGAGCTATGCCCATGGCACAGGAGACATAAGGAGGGGAGTTCCAGTGAGTGGCAATAGTCCAAAGAAGGGAAGGAGTCTATGTTGACAGCTAATAGAGCCTGGACGCTCCGGTCCAGACTCTGCTGCTAACTAGCTGTTTGACGTCCGCAAGTCCGTTCACTTGTTATCCCCCCATTTACACATGAGAACACTGAGTCAGTCTACTCTAACTCTTAGATTTCCTATAAAGATAAAAGGATATGCTAGATGCTTATTAATAAGCATTTGTCAAATAAAATTATACCTGTAAAAAGCACTTGGAAGAAGTAAAAACTGCTGTGTAAACTCTACAAATCTAAAAGCATAAGAACAAGCGCCTAGGTAAAGATAAAAGGAAAGAAAATGGGAATTATATTGTTAGTAGAGTATGCTATAAATCACCTAGCCAAATTTTTGTATGATTGCTGCTTTTCTGATGCGTATCTCAAAATTGGCAGAAAACCAGAATATATTGGTATGAGACCTTAAGTATTAGGCCTCTGTTAGAACTTTCATTCGGCTAAAAGGTGGGCATTTGATAAATCTGTCCTTAATTTGCCTAGCTGACTATTATAAGAATGAAGAGAAATGCAACTTTAGACATCATTCTCTCTGCTAGAGAAACGATTGGTGAAATGAAACGAACGCTGACCCTCAGTATAGCCTTGAAGTGTAGGTTTTCCTGAAGTGTAAGTTTTGAAAGTATTGTTATCCCCATTTTGGCAGCTAGGTGGCACAATGGATAGACCACTGGGCTTGGAACCCGGAAGACTCATCTTTCTGAGTTCAAATCTGGCTTCAGACACTTGTTAGCTGTGTGACCCGGGGTAAACCACTTTACTCTGTTTGCCTCAGTTTCCTCTATAAAATGACCCGGGGAAGGGAATGGCAAACCACTACAGTATCTTTGCCAAGAAAATCTCCAAATGGGGTCATGAAGAGTTGGACACAACTGAAAAACAACTAAACAATGCAAAAATCATTCCCCTTTAGCATCCTCCTTTAACTGCTTACAGAGGTTTAGTAATATTCGAGGTCAGTCATCTAGAAAGGGGCAAAGGAGGAACCTCACACAAGCACTGCTCAAGTCCAGCCTTCTTTGCACTATATCATGTTATCGTTAAAAAATTGTCATCATCTTAAAGTTCTTAATAGCTGGGGAAATCAATTTATACTCAACTATGTGACCTAGATATTAGAAAAACAAATCTGAAAGTTCAGAGAAAAGTTAGGCTCCTCGGATGTGTATTAAAAATTAAATTTTGACAACACAACTAGAACAAATGATCCAATGAAGGGACAAAGAGAGGAGGCACCTAAATAAATGTGGGTTGCACAGACAGCTCTCTGATCTCAGATTTTTTAAAGGGTACAAAGACAATTACTTCAATACCTCATCCTAGTATGGAAGTAGCAGGCCCTTAGAGGCTATGGTAGCAGTGCATAAGCTCTGCCAAGTACTACTAAGGTCAAAAGTCTTTGTTGACAATCTTAGTCATAGTCTATTGTCCAAGAACTAGCTTAACCAAGTGTGGAGAGGCTCCTCACCACAGGGTTAGCCAATAGATAATGAATTCTTTGGCCACAGAAAGCCATAAAAATGCAGTATGGCTTTCTGTCCTTTGCAGACACCTGCCACTTCAAGACAAAAAGTAGAACAACCTCTGCCCTTCAGGGAGCTTACATTCTAATGAAGAAGACCACATGTACATATATAGGTATATACAAAAAACAAAGCAGATACAAGGTAAACCTACATGGGAAGGTACTAGATGTTGGGGGGACCAGGAAAGACTTCAAGCAGAAGGTGATGATTGAGTGAAGTCTTGAGGGAGCTAGAGATTTCAAGAGAGAGAGATGGAAGAGTATATTCCCATCATGGAACACTGCAGTGTTATAGAGAGGAGATGAATTGTCTCATTAAGGAATGGTAAGGGTAGTATTGGTGGGCAATAGAGCATGAGGAGGGGAGTTATATATAATAAGTATGGAAAGGTAGGATGGAGCCAGGTTGAGAAGACCTCTAAATGCCATACAGAGGAGTTCATATTGGTAGAGGTAAAAAGGAGCAATTGGAGCTTATTAATGAGGGGAAGAAGGGTAACAACAGACCTTTAGAAAAACCAGTTTGGTGGCTATGTGGAAGATAGATTGAAGTGGGGAAAGATTTAAGGCAAGGAGATTTGAGGATTTGAGGCAATTAGAAGACTGTTGCACTAGTTCAGGGAAAAGGTTATTAGGGCCTGAACTAGGGTGGGCACTGTGTGGAAAGTATACATTATGGCCAAGAAATCAGAAACCAAAACTTCAAAGATTATTTGTAAGCCTCCCCATTTGTATACCATTAATACTTCCTTTGAGTGTGGAAGGCACTGATGTGCATGATGATCCCTGGAAAACATAACAAAAAGTGAAATGGATTAGCTGTAAACAAACAAGGAATGATTGGTTACTGACATGGAAGTCATTTCAAAGTCAGTTTTTTGCATGCAGTCTGTATGTATATTATCAGCTGAAAATAGCACATATATTAATGCCAAAATTAATGAATGGACAAAAATGACAAGAAAAAATGCAATTACAAGTTCGTATGCAGCTGTAAGGGTCCTTTTCTGAGACCTCCCCCCCAAAAAAAATTGGCTTATGAGAAGAATTATACAAGTCAGTCAATGCTAAAATTAGTAGGCCATCTTATTTGGTGAATTGAAGGAAATGCCTTGTTACTTAACCGAAGACACTCAAGGGAACACAGAGGGAAACAGAAGCTAAAAGTGAAAAGTTGTAGGACTGCATCTACATACACACACCCCTAATTGGGGAAAAGCTGAGTTTTGCAAAACTAGAGAAGACAACACACACATACATACCTCTCTGACACTCCAAAGTTAGAGAAGGGATACAGCTAGGGATGCTTGGATCTTCAGTCCAAGGCAGGAGGAGGGAACCTACAATGACCTTTTGGAAGATGGCACCTGGGATTTAACAAACACTACTCCAACTTCTCTCTGGGATTCTGTCCCATCTTCACTCCTTGCCTCAGAGCAGCTCAGGCATATTATAGACAGGGATGAGATATTCCATAGAGGTGATTCTAAAAGGTTTCTCACCTCTGATGTCACAGGCGTGGAGTTGCCAACAAGCTCGGGAACTGAAAGTTTCCAGCTTGGAAGGTTTGAGATAGAGAATATTCCCCATATGGGAAGTTCCATAAAAATGACATGGCAAAGGGTGACATGCCTAGGGAATATCCGATATCTTGTTAGACTCACAAAGATTAGATAGAATTTCTGGGCAGCATCAACATCTTAAACCAACTATTGACTTTGAAAAATGGGTAATGGATATAAAAATAAAGTTAATTCTGATTATCATAATTTCTTAAATTATCCAAAGTAAAAGAAATTACCTAAACAAGGAGCAAAAAACCCAAAACATACCACGGGCAGAAAATACTTGATCTCTTTGCCAAGTGGTAAGACATGACAACCAAGTATATGCTTATTTGTATAATATTACATAAAGGAGAATGAAAGAAGGTTTCGTGTAATTTTAACCTTAAAAAAAAACAGGGAAACATAGTAAAAGGGAAGAAAAGCCTCTGGAAAGCTTAGCATGAGACCCAGCTTAAATGTCTATACCAATTTTTGTCATCACTGATGACAGTGAAACTTCCGCATTTGGCCTCCTCAGTTCCTAATGTACTATGTAAGGAAGTGGAAATGTCCACTTGAGATAGTTAGTTAGCAAGAACAGCTGGATTTGACCAAATACAGACAGAAAAAATTTATGTGGGAAATAATTTTAAGACACTCAGAATTAAGTTTTCAAGATGTCTTGAAGAGGGGAAGATTCCATAAAAGTGAAAAAAGCAGTAGAGGATACTATTACCCCCCCCAAAAAAATGACCAAAAGACATCAGTAACTACACTTACTTTTACTTACTGTGATTAATGAAAGAATTTATGATTTCATCGGTGTGAGTACTTCCTTCCTTGATGCAGATCACAACATATCCAAAGCCTTTTCATACCAGGAGATTGTTATTCCCCAAAATCAATCAGCAAGGTGCAGCTAGGTGGCATAGTGAATAGACTGTTGGACTCAGGAAGGCCTGAGTTCAAATATTGCCTCAGACACTTAATTAGCTGTGTGAGTCTGGGCAAGTCACTTAATCTCTATCCTGTACACATCTTCAATTCAACATGTTCAAAGCAGAACTGATTATCTTTCCCTCAAAACCCTTCCCCCACCACTTCCATACTTCCTCATTACTGCCAAGTGAACCACCAGGCTCCTGGTCACCCAGGCTTGCAACCTAGCCTCTACACTTCACTATTTCTCACCCTCCATATCCAATCTGTTGCCAAGGCCTGTTGATTTTATCTCCATGCCTTCTCTAGTATATGGCTTCTTTTCTCCTCTGACCTGCCACCACCATGATGGTGTAGGTTCTCAACACCTCACACCTGGACTAGTACAGTAGCCTGCTGGTGGGTCTCCCTGCCACAGGTCTCTTTCCACTCCAGTCTATCCCCCACTCAGCTGCTAAAGTGATCTTCCCAAAGCACAAGT